TAAGATTGGATCTACTACTGTAAGCATAGGTTGAAAATCGACCCATATTCGCTGTTGCTCACTGGTTTAGCACACGACAACGGATATTTGCTAGCACAAGTGCTTACTGTGGCGAAAGACAACAGTGCTGCAAAGTACGTGGCAACCAAATTGGAAGAGCACCTGATTGAAAAGTGGGTGACAGATGAAAAGAGTGATGAAGCTGTTTTCGAGGGTCTTGGTCTTAAAGACGCAGGCATCAATATGCTCGATAGCCCAATGTGGGACACGTGGGTCTTGTACATGGTGAAGAAGTTCCACGTCGGAAAAAACATCGGAGAGGAAGACAAATACACGCTAGTACTCTCAAAGCTGAACGTGACCGATGACTTGTTGGACAAGTCGTTGCATGCAGCTACAACCCCCAAGGGTCTGGATCGTGCCATAGCATTGGCGGCGGCGCGCCAGCGTGAGGAATCGGCACGCATGCGTATAGAATCACGAAAGAGACCTGGTAACAACGACGGCGAAGCACCAGCGACAAAGCTTCGACGAAACAACTGAATCGCTAGGAATGTATTGGACGACCGCCCGCTCGTGCGTGCTCTAGCACGTTTTCGAAGCGCTTGAACGCGGAATTCGGGCGCTCCGAGTTGCCGCTGAGGTCGATGCCTACAATGAGCCGACAGTTCTGCTTGTGCTTGCGCTCAAGAGCCATGTTAACAGTGTCTTCTGCCAGACGCAAAGACTGATTCCGGTTGATACTTAGCAACAGACGCACCTCAATGTTTAAATCTCGTCGCGCATTGCATTTCTCAAGTGCTGACACCACTTCATCCACGTAATCTGCACGACTGGCACCATCTCTCGGCAGATCTCGCGGTGTAGATCGCAACTCTAAATACTTTACGTTTTCTGCAGCAAAATCTTCCACCGCTTCAACGACAATTCGACGGAGTACGCGGCGACTGACGACAACTTGGTGGATCAGCCCGAACATCGTAAAACACTCGTCTAAACTTCGCTTTTTTGGGAGCCGTCGTGGCTCTGAACCGTTCAATGTTGCTTCATCATGTAAAAGTTCTTCCAGCGTCGACGGCCGAATAGATCCGTGGATATGCGCATGCAGCTCCACTTTAGGCAGTGCTCTGCAATATGTACGTAGCTCTTCATTCAGGACGTCCATCGTACAATTATGTGTGGTGCACATTGTGTGTGGTGGACATTGTGGTGCTGCACATCGTGCTGTGTTGGATACACAACGTCATCTTTTCGCCACAACTTATAACCGACACCCCACCGACACTCATCTGCTGCCATGATTGATCACTTTGTTATCTTTTCCAGAACAGGGGCTGTCTTGTGGTCACGTACGCTGTGCAAGCTAAACAATAATCTCGTGGATAACCTCATCAATCGCGTGCTGATGGAAGATCGCGCCGGCGAAAAGAAGTTTATTGACAACGCCTATGCCATGCAATGGGTATTTGAAAACAAACTGGATCTGGTGTTTGTCGTTGTCTACCAGAAGATTTTACAGCTATTGTATATTGAGGAGCTCCTGGAGATTGTCAAAAAGGATTTTATCGTCACGTTTCCTCAGCAGATCGCCAACAAGACGCCCGTCACATACGAAGCCAAGTTCACCAAGATCCTCAAGGCTACAGAACTTACATTTACAGAGAAACATGCACGTAAAGGTCCGCGCGGGTATAATGCATCCAAGAAAGCCAAGGCCAAAGGTGTGAAGTCCAATACAGCCGGCAAGACAGCATTGTCTTCGCGCTCTACGACGACTGCAGATGTACGAGCTGCAATTTATTGCTACTTTTGTGCTTCCGTTGCATTGACGTATGTGCCGTGATGGTTGTGCAATGCGTTTTTTTGTCTTTTTCTTGTGGGATTGAGTAGTCCAGTGATGATGGAAATGATAGCGCCCCGTCCGATGGAAATGATAGCGCCCCGTCCGATGGAAATGATAGCGCCCCGTCCGATGGAAAGGACAAAAATCTCGTCGAGCTGGAATACGAGGCGACACTGCGTTCGTCCAAGGGGCGAACGATGCGATCGGGTGCGCGTCGTAAGGGGAAGGATAAGGCTGCGAAGGAGTCGAAGAATGGCGGCAAGCAAAGGACGATATGGGACGACACAAAGGTGTCCAAGAAGGAGGCCAAAGCGTTGGATCGCTCTAAAACGGTAAAGATGGCTTCGAAAGGTGGCTTGGCTGACAGAATGTTATATTAACATGGTGTCCGATTACGTCAGATTACTGCCGACGAGGAAGAGGCACAGCTCCGCGAGAAACGTGAAGCCTACATTGGCGTACGTTTTTGCATTTATGCCAGGTATCGCATGAGCGCAACGAATATGCTAATAGTGCTGTGTGTATAGAAATTGGAAGCGAGCGACTCTGACGAGTCTTCTGTCAGTGATGAGGAGTCTTCCGCCTCTTCGGGAGCGGATTCAGACTCTGGCTGGAGCTTTTCGAAAACTCGTGTTGGTAACTTCCTTAGCACGATGTCTGGCAACAAAATACTCGAGCGAGATGATTTGGAGCCTGTGATCAACCCCATGCATCAGATGGTAGGTTCTGGCAAACTGCAGTGTTTCGCGCGTTGCGGGCAGTACTGACCTAGTCGTTATATTACAGCTGATAAGCAAGAATGTGGCTTCGGAAGTCGCCGATGAACTATGCGAATCTGTCATCACGACCATGGTCGGTCAGAGGCTGGAGAGCTTCTCGCGCATCTCTACGGTCGTGCGCAAGGCTCTAGAGGCCGCACTGTTGCGTATCTTGACACCGAAGAAATCTACTGACGTGCTGCGCGAGGTTCTGCAGGCAAAGGCAGAAGGCCGTGCATACAGCATTGTCTTTGTGGGTGTCAATGGCGTTGGCAAGTCCACTAGCTTGTCCAAGGTATGCTACTACCTGAAGTCGAAGGGTGTGAACGTTATGATCGCTGCGTGCGATACGTTCCGTTCTGGAGCTGTTGAGCAGCTGAACCAACACGCCAAGGTCCTGGACGTGGAGTTGTTCCAGAAGGGTTATGCTAAAGACCCGGCATCGGTGGCCAAGGAGGCGATCAAGTACGGCGCCGATCATGGTTACGATTGCGTGCTCATTGACACTGCTGGCCGGATGCAAAATAACGAGCCGCTCATGCGCGCGTTGGCCAAGCTTGTGTCAAACAACGAGCCGGACCTTGTTCTCTTTGTTGGAGAAGCTTTGGTTGGCAACGATGGTATCGATCAGCTGTCAATGTTCGACCGGGTACGAATGTGTGAGCTCGACAGTGTCTCTTGCACTTGTTATCTGACTTATATAATTGGTTATCTAGGCTCTTGCAGACTACTCGGACCGCCGCGAGCCGCACCGCATTGATGGCATTGTCATTACGAAGTTCGACACAATTGATGATAAGGGTAAGTTGCTGATGATTTTCTTGATGCAGTGTTGCGTCCCTCTTATTCTTTCATTTGTAGTTGGTGCTGCGGTATCGATGGTGTACAAGACTGGCCAGCCGATCATGTTTGTTGGCACGGGCCAGAAGTACACGCATTTGAAGAAGCTGAACGCGCGTACGGTCTTACGTCACCTGCTGCAGTAGCTCGTGAAGCTCTTTATGCTGGACATCTCTCTTCATATTTAGGACCAAACGAATAGCATGCTTGCACGAAAGTACTGTCTTACAGTTTGCTTGCGCTGTTATCTATTTTCAGTCATGATTATGTTCGCTCATAACGCGTTAGCAAGTGCATCAGGATGCTCAGCGATCTTAAAGTAAAGTTCAACCACGACAACACCTGGACGAATGACTTGGCGGTTTTGAAGGTGCTACTGAGATGCGAGCTCACGGGAGACGGTTTACCTATTAGACCTGGAAGAAGCTCCTTACTATTACAAGCGGCGATAAAGTTATGACGCTTGTTCACCAGCGCGTGGCAAAGCGCCTGCGTTTCATTCTTTAAGGAGTGCATGTAGCGTGGAATGCGTGTGAAAGTGCCATTCATATGATGACTTCTTGTCGTGCACCATTGACACATGAGAGATTCTAGTACACGATGAGGCATTGCACAGTTCAAATATAACGATATAAGGCCGTGCCAACGAACATCATTATGATAATGGTAACATCCCCCACTAGCTAAACCAAGCTAATGACAGTCTTCAAGGATCCAAATGAAATCACAACGATATCATTGATATCTCATGAACAAGACAAACAGTTTCAACACACACAGACACACTTACGCGTTAAAATATTTTTATAAAAGGGGTGGTGTTCATAAACACCAGAAGAAAAGATGTGACCCACGTTGTCCAATCGTTCATAAAGAGACAACGGGGTCGACTGAATGAAAACGGTCTCGACAAGACAAACAGTTTGCATCAAACATTCAATCGAAGACGCTGAACGAAAGTTTGTTGATCACGAATGCCATAAACTTAAGCCGACGTAAACTTGGTCACGGCCTTTGTACCCTCCGACACAGCGTGCTTGGCCAGCTCACCCGGTAACATAAGACGCACTGCTGTCTGGATTTCACGGCTGGATAGCGTCGACTTCTTGTTGTAACGTGACAATTTACCAGCTTCCGAAGCGATACGTTCAAAGACATCATTGATAAAAGAGTTCATGATCGACATGCCACGTTTGCTAATGCCCGTGTCCGGGTGCACCTGACGCAAAACTTTGTAGATGTAAGTCGAGTACGATTCCACACGTTTCTTGCCGCGGCCCTTGCCTTTGCCAGTCTTGGCAACTGTCTTTGCTGCTTTCTTTGAAGGTGTCTTTGCCATTTCTTTCTATGTGACTTGGAATTACTCGGTGAGTTGAACAATGAAGGTAGTCGAAAGCACCGTATTCGGAGACTGGGGTCCTGTTTATCACATGCGTATTTTTTCCGGCGACTCGCATTAAGATTATTGATTGGTGGAACGTTTTATCTGACGCTTTCATTGGCTGCGATTAACAATGACGTGCATACGATTGGTAGGATTGTACAGCAAGGGATGGGGTAGTTTTGGCGCCAAATGTGAATCCGGGAAAGCCATTGACGCCAAAAAGCTCTTTGAAGACATTGGCGATTACGAGTTGGGCGTAATATGTACTTTTATAAAAAAATCTATCGAGATGATGTTGGAAGGCAAGCTTC